TTGAGAGAAATTAACTAGGAGAAAAATTACATTTTACAATCTTGAGTTTCTCTATATCATATAAATGTGGTATATTCTAATCTTACCATTGATTTCAATTATCTTCTTGAATGGTTTTAAACTTCTGCTTGTAAATATTCTTTTAAGTTTTCTAAGAACAGGATCTTCCACTTTTTAGGGCAGTAGCCTCCAAATTATTTTGATTACACATCCTGATGGGTTAAATTTGTATGAAAAAAATATATACAAATTACTTTATAAGTAATACACACTACTATACTAATATATAGTTTATAAAATATACAAAGTATTTAAATAGTGAGATAAAGATTAAATAATTTTTTTTTACTTAATTTTTAGAGTGGGGGAGAGAGAGACAGAGATCTGTTGTTCCGCTGATTCATACATTCGTTGGTTGCTCCCTACATATGCCTTGACCAGAGAGTGTACTCACAATTGTGGCACATCAGGACAACTCTCCAACCAACAAACCTGGCCAGAGCAAACAATGATTTTTAAACAAATGTCTTACTTTGTTAAACCATTTGCTTTCATTAAAAATCACTGAGGTTTCCCTGACAGGTATGGCTCAGTTGGTTGGGGGTCATCCTGCAGAGTGACGGGTTGCTGGTTCAATTCCTGGACAGGGCACATGTCTGAGTTGCAGGTTTGGTCCCAGTTGGGGTGTGTTCAAGAGGCAACTGATCGATGTTTCTCTCTCAAGTCGAAGTTTGTCTCCCTCTCTTTCTCCCTCCCTTCTCCTCTCTCTAAAAATAAGTAAATAAAATTTTTTAAAAATCATTGTAGTTGGAAAATAACAGTGGTAATATGATTTTAGTGAGAACAATGTGCCTGCAAATACTTAAACATTTCACGATACAGAAATGTGGAGGGCTGATTTTCTTAATATGGGATATAATTTATGTATAATAAACTGCACTCATTTAAACAGTTCAGACTGATAAATTTTTAAAAGTGTGTAATGTATTCATTCACCTGTTTGAGCATCATCACAATTAACATGCAGCATAATTCCACCCCCTACAAAATGTCTTCATGTCTTTTGTTGTCAATCCCTTTCTCCACCCCTGGTGCTAAGAAACTGATGTTTTCTGCCATTGTGAAAATAGTTCCTCGAATATGAAGCACTTTCTAGAATAATATGTATACATAGTTGTAAAATATGGACTTTGTTATGTCTGCATTCTTTGACTTAGTATGATGATTTTGGAAAGTAATCCATGTTTTTTACATATACCCAGAATTCATTCTTTTTTATTGTCCATTGCGTGGACATTCCATTATTTGCTTATTAATTCAACTGTTGATTGACATTTGGCTTATTGCTTGCATTGGATATAATGAATTAAGCTACTGTGAACATTCATGTACAAGTCTTTGTATTCGTATATATTTTACTTATCTTAGGTAAATACCTGTAAGTGGAATGCCTGCATCATATAGTTGTAGGATTTTCATCTTTCAAAAATGTCTTCTTGTGGTAAAATATACATAACAAAATTTATCATTTTAACAATTCTTAAATGAAAAGAGTGTATTGAGAATTTTAACATTTATGTTCATGAGGGATATTGGTCTCTGCTTTACTTCTCTTGCAATATCTTTGTCTGGTCTGGATATCATGGCAATGCTGGAATCATAAAATGAGTTAGAAACATTTCCTTCTCTTCAGCTCTTGGGAAGCTTTCTTTTTACCTTAAATGTTTAGTAAAAATCACCAGTGAGGTCAACTGGGTCTGTAACTTTCTATGCAAAAAGGTTTTTTGGGTTTTGTTTGTTTGTTTGTTTGTTTGTTTTAGAGAGAGGGGAAGGGAGGGATAAAGAGAGGGAGAGAAACATCAGTGCATGGTTCCCCCTCGCACATCCCCTACTGGGGACCTGGCCTACAATCCAGGCATGTGCCCTGACTGGGAAGCAAACCAGTGACCCTTTGGTTCGCAGGCCGACACTCAATCCACTGAGCCACACCAGCCCAGGATACGTGAAAAGGTTTTAAACTAAATTTCAATTTCTTTGATATAGGGCTATTCAAGTTACCTATTTCTCTTGAATGAGCTTTGGTAATTTGTCTTTCAAGATATTTGTCCATTTCACTTAAATTGGCAAATTTAGTGCCAAGAACTGGCTCATAATTTTCCTTTATGATGTATCTTGCTTGTTTGTTTTTTAGTTGCTTGTCTAGAAACACGTTAGGACCTGTACTCTTACTCTGAAATGAAGTTATTGGACCACTTCGAGCAGAGGCATGATATGAGTTACTAGTTACAGAATTCTTCTGGACATTTGTATTAAAAATAACCTGAAGAGGATTAAGGGCAGCATCAAGGAGATAAAGTAGTATTTAACTGCAAAAGACTACATTGGCTTGGACCAGTGAGGTGGTAGTGGTGGTCAGAAAGTGGTAGAATCTTAGTCAAGTTAGAGCTGACTGAGCTGTCAGAAGGATTAGTTTAGGTATAGAAGTAGTAAAGGATGCTTCTAAGGTTATTTGTCCTGAGTAACTGGAAGAATGGAGTTTTGTTGAGAAAGGAAGACTGTAGGAGGAACTGAGGAGAGGGTGAGACATGTTCTCCTCAAGATGCTTATTCATTCTCCGGGTGTAGATTTCAAAGTAGGCAGTTGGTTACATAGATTGGATTTGAGGGAAATGATTGGTACTGGAGATGCATACTGAGAGTTATAACCATTTCAATGGTATTTAAGGCCCCAACACTGGATGAGGTAAATTGAAGGAGAGCAGGTGGGAAAGAGATCCAAAACTAAACCCTAAGTTAGTGCTCCATATGAAGGTTGGGGTGGGCGGACCTGCAACAAACAGAACAGCCAGAAAAGTAGGCAGAACAATCAAGTGTGGTTTCTTAGGGGCTTAGAAGTGTTTCAGAGGATGTAGTGATTGGTTATGTCAAATTCTGATAGATCAATTAACTCATGGACTGAAAAGCGATTATAGATTTAGGAATGAGGAGGTCTCGTATGACCTTGGAAAAAACACTTTTACTGGAATTGTGTGGGTTAACTGGAATTGGTCCAAGAAAGAATGAGAGAGCCCTGACTGGTGTGGCTCATTTGGTTGGGTGTCATCCTGCAAAGTGAAAGGTCCCTGATTCTATTCCTGATCAGGGCACATGCCTGGGTTGCTGGTTTGGTCCCCAGTTTGGTTGAAAGGCAGCCAGTCAATGTTTCTCTCTTGATATTTTGCTCCCTTTCTTCCCTCCCTTCCCCTCTAAGAAAAATAAATAAAACCTTTGTTTAAAAAAAAAGGAATGAGAGAAATTTTGTATTTGTTAATTCACCTACTCACTAAAATGTACAGGTAAACTCAAAACCGATTTTTGCAGACTTGTGCAGACCGGCAGATTTGAGTTGTATGCTGCACATGGTCCCAACAGAGGTAGAACAAAGCAAACATCTTATTTCTGCTGTTGCACTGGTGTGTTTCATGCTATATTTTCACATTTGGGTTGGTTTTTTCTGTTTAAAATGTCTCTCAATTGCAGTGCTGAAGTGTTTTCTAGTGTTCCTAAGCACAAGAAGGCTATAGTATGACATATAGAAAATACTTGCTACCTAAGCTTCCTTAGGCATGAGTTACAATGCGATTGGCCATGAGTTCAACTAATGAATCAACAACATATAGTAAATAAGGTACCTTTAAACAGAAACATACATAAAACAAGGTTATGTATTGATAGGGTCACAAAAATGTAATGACCAGAGCCTCGTAAAAACCTTTTTATTTCCCCTGGGAGCAATGGTTCAGTCTTGCTAAGTCAGCATTTGCTATGACTTTATAGAACATAACTCTACTGAATAAGAATCAACTCTAACATAAGTATGTTTAAGAGTCTTTTAAAAAAAATTTTATTTGATTGATTTTAGAGAGAAAGAGTAAGGGAGAAAGAGAAACACCCATTTGTTATTCTACTTATTTATGCCTTCATTGTTTGCTTCCTGTATGTGCCCTGACAGGAGAGCAAACCTACCACCTTGATGATAACAGGATGCTGCTCCAACAATCTGAGCTGCCCAGACAGGGCCAAACATCTCTTTTTAAAATGATGTCAGAAAGGCAGGTACTTTCCCAACTAATTGTTTATTTATCTTTCCCTTGAAAGTCGATGAAAAAAGAAAAAAAAAAGCCATTTACTAGGAAGCATGTTGTTGGTAACCACTTAAAAAATGTCAGGATATTTGGGACACTTCTTTTTACAAAAGAAAATATGTAATTAGAACACATATTAACTTCAAGACAGCAGTTACCTTTTGTCAAGGAAAGGCAGAGGAATGAGGCTGTTCTTCAACTGTGTCTATAATTTTTTTTAATATAAATAAGGCATATTATCATAGATCTGAGCAATGGGTAAAAGCAATGTTCTCCTTTTGACATATTTAAAATAAATACATAATAATAATTCAGTAGGATTAAATAACACTATTATAATACTTGACTTCGCTAAATTGCCATCATCAACTGATGGACAGCTCGTGATTGTTTGACTGTCACTGACCCCATGGAAAGATCAGGACACGCTGTTATAGTTTATAGCAAACAACTCAATGGCTTTAAGGCAGCTTCACCGGTCACTGAAGACCTCACCCCTCTAAAGCTACACATTGCAACCATGCTAAAGTACATTAAATAACGGCAAGAGAGTCGGTCCACGTTTGGGGGCAGTATCTAGGGATGAGACCAGACACGAGCCAGCACTCAATCAAAGGCTTGAGAGGAATGAACACCCCTGGCCTTCAGCTAAACAAGGCCGAGAGCCTCCAAATAAACTCAGCGTGCATCTGAACTGGATTCGGCATCACCGGAAACGGCAACTCCCACTTGGGGCGCTGCGGACACACGAGTTAAGGCTGCCTTCCAGGAAGCCAAAAAAAAAAAAAAAAAAAAAGGGAGAAAGAGAAAAAGGAGGGATAGTGGGGAGCAGGCCCTCGACCGCCACCCACACGCCGCGCCCCCACCTTTTCGCCGCCCCCGCTGCTGCCCTTGGCCTTTGGCCGCCCCCCCGGTGGCCTAGCCCTCGGACCCTGAGGCCTGCCGGCCGCTGCCCGCTGGTGGGGACCTCAGGTGCGTACCCCGCCCCCGCCGCCATTAAAAGCGGGTGCTTTCCTTGGAACTTTCTCCTCCCGCGGGCCTGCAGCTCTGAGGGGGAGGTTTATGGAGGTCGCCCGCCCAGGCGCACAGAGGGAGGTGCCCCCTTCCCTGCTGGGTCAGCGGCCCGAACCCGGTTGCTCGAGGGTACGGACGGAGGAGTGGGGGTGGGGCGAGGAAGCCCTGTCGTTGGGGCAACGGTCCTACGCACAGAACGCTCATCCTTCTCCCTTCTGATTGGCTGGGCGGGGTGGTAGGGGAGGATGCTGCAAGCCACCGGCTCTCGGGGGGCCAGATGCCTGTGACATCAGGCCTAGTCTGACTTGTGCTTACGCGGGACTGTTGGCTGCATGAAGAAGTGCCTGATTGGTTAGGTGAGGGGGCGGGGCTTCCTCTGTTGCCTGGTAACTGCCCCCGTTTCCAGAGTGGAGGCGCCCCGACTCCGCCCCTCACATTGCGCGTTACCGCGTTACCGAGTGACCTGTGGCGTGGGTTTTGTCGTGGAGGTCAACCCGCCAGTCTCCAGAGGCCTGATGGCAGAAAGTAAACCCAGAGGGACTAAGAAGAGTTTCTGGCCCAGGATGGCGGTCCATCACTTATGGTTTAAAAGGGAGAAAAGTCTCGCAGGGCTGTATTTCCCTCCCTTCAAACCCTAGCTTTGCTGTTTAATAATAGCTTTATTGAGATATGCTATAAAATTCACCCTTGGAAGTTCGTAATTTATTGGTTTTTATTTTATTCATAGAGTTTTGCAACTATCACCACTATCTAATTCCAGAACACTTTCATTACCCGAAAAGAAATCCCAATTCTAATGGCAGTCGTTTCCCATTTCACACCCCAGCCCCTCTCAACCACTAATGTACTTTCTGTCTCTATGGCTCTGAATGTTCTGAACGTTTTCTGCAGATGGTTTGTTTCATTCTTTTTATGGATGAATAATCATTGTATTAGTACAATATTTTCATTTTCTGTCCATTTACGGCAATTTGGGTTTCCACTTTTTTTATTTCATTTTTTTACTATTATGAATAATGCTACTATGAGCATTTGTGTACGTCTTTTGTGTGCATATGTTTTCAACTCTTGGGTATATGCCAAGAAATGGAATACCTGGGCCAAGCTTTGTGTTTTAAGGGTAAAATTCTTTCACAGTTTAATTTCATGGTGGTAATTTGAAGTAAGCAGATGTCTAGGTATAAGGTTGGATATTGCTCAGAACTGCAGCTGAAGAATTAAGCAGCCTTTTCTTCCACTTGGAGAGGAAGGCTTGATCAGTGTCACTGGCCACCTTGCCTTTAGTGGACACAGGGCTTGGCGTCAGCTGCAGCAGGTGTTACTCTGCAGTGGCGATTTGGAGTGGATCACCACCGTTCTTTTCTTTTGTTTAGCCCCTGATGTTTGCTGCCTACGGCTCCGGGTCTTTGCCCGCACCTTCAGCCGGCACAGTTTTTCCCCTCCTTCTCAGGCTTCAGAACTTGCTCAAGTGCCCAGTTGTTGACTCTCTCTTGCCACGTGCTCTGGACCACTTCAAGGACGCCTGGCTTTCATTTTGCCTTTGTTATCTGCTGTTCATATCCATGCAGGTGCGCCTCACTTGAACGTGCAGGGGGCGGATTTTACTAACCTTTGTTTCCCTCTGCCCATCCTGCCAGCATGTATGTTTTCACATATGAGGTGCTCAGTACATTTTTGGTTGTTTTTTAAATTTTTATTAATGTATTTGACTAAGCTAAAGTTCTTTCCTATTTGTTAATCATTTAAATTTTATTGAAAATACATGTTATTTCTATTTCTTTTCCATACTCCTGTATCATTCCAGAATAGAAAGAATACCTTGTGGAATTTATTATTCTTTTTTTAAATTTCCAGTTTTATTGACATATAACATTATTTGTTGTAGGTGTCCACCATAGTGATTTGATAATATGAATGTATTGTGAAGTGATTGCTACAATAAGTGTAGTCAACATTCATCAACTCACATATTATAATTTTTTGTTCTTGTGATGAGATCTTTTAAGATCTACTCTCTTTGCAACTTAATACAGTATTGTTAACTCTAGTCACCATGCTACACATTACATCCCTAGGATTTGCTTATTTTAAACTGGAAGTTTGTACCTTTTAACCATCTCAATATGTTTCTGTTGAATGCTGAATTGTGGAGTAGGTGGCACCTCAGAAACTTGTTAATTAAAAAAGCAAGACCTCAGAGACTTGAAAAATTAAACTTTTAGGAAAGGAAAATTAGAAATACTCTAAAAAATAAACCAGGCCTCTTTTTCAAGATTTCAGAAGTTCAATAAACATAGTGGATGACATTCTAAGTTATGAAAATTATAAGTGATGGAAATGAATTCTAGATCAGAGATGAGCAAACGTTTTCTGTAAAGGGCCAGATAATAAATATTTTTGGCTTTGGCGGCATATGGTCTTGTCAGGTCTTGTCACATGCATACAATCCAGCCTTTGCAGGAAAGCAGCCATAGACAAGATGTAAATGAATGTGGCTGTGCTCCAATAAATCTTTACTTACAAAGTAGGTGGCAGTCTGGATTTGACCCACAGATTGTTGACTCCTGTTCTAGATGTTTTCATTGGTAAAATACGTCGAAAAGGCAAGGAAGTCCTCAAGGATTGCTGGAGAAACTACATGAGATTTGAGAGTATTTTTTAGTTTACATGTCTAGTTTTTACAGAGCAAAAAAGTAAGTATTATATAAAATCTGTGATCTAAATGAATGTTGATCATGCTTTAGATTTGAATAGAAAAGAAGTTAATTACCACGTAGACTTTGGGAGATTTTACTCTGTGACACAAGCTTTCATTGTCAAGGATTTTTCGTTTTATTAGGATGCAAAGATGTTTTTCTCAGGGAAATGTTCTTAGTGCGGGGAAACCCCATGTTAGCTTATAACCATGTTTCATTATTTTTGATATGTTAATACATGATGTGTTCTAAATTAAAAATATAAAAGACTAAGTTCCTGCTTTCATTTATTAAGGATACAAACAAAGCAATAATTATAAAACATTCATTTTTTTAATTATTGCTGGTATCCCAGTTGATACCAACTGAAAATATGATTCTGAGATCCACCTAGTTTAATTCTGCCTATTATTTTATTCTCTCAAAAACCAGAGTTTTGACATCACAGTCCTCTTAGGGATTACTGTGGTGTAATTAGCAGAAACAGTATCTTTACCACTGGCACTAACAGATATCAGGCAAGCAGTTTACTTTTGTGTTTTAGAGGAAGGCTTTGTTGAAGTCTTCTCTAAGGAAAGAATCATGTGAAATAATAGACAATGGAGTCACACTACGGTTGAGCTACAAAAATAAAATGAGAAAAATACCTCTTAAAATATTTCAGGTGCTTTCTGCCATCCCAATATAGGAGCATTTGACTTAGCAGCAAGCATGAGCTGGGAACCTGGAATATGCCAGTCCCTGCTTATATAGTCTTTCTGGGACAGGTAGTTACTGCTCCCTTGGATAATTTGGATGATGCTTGAATCTGCCTTTGAGTATACCTACTTCCGTTGTAAATAGGACTCTGCTATATGAGACCTTGTCTTTATTTTTTTTTAAACAGTATTTGAAGTAGTTTATTCTGAAAGATAATGGTCACGAATATCAGCTTCTTAGTCATCATTTTAAATATCAATAATATATTAAAGAGCTTTGGTTGTAGACTTATCTTTTGAACCGGGCCCATTTACCCACATTAATCCTTTTTTAAAACAAATATTTGCCTTATTTTAGATGAAAATTGAACACATGTTCAATATATTTAAAGTTTATTTTAAAATCTTTATGAGATGTCTATAGCTTCTGTGGAAAAATAATTTTAATATTTCAACCAAGTAATGCAGTTAATTTTTAAAAATACAAATAAGAAATTGGAAGGAAAACTCTAGTTTTGCCAATGGGCGTAGTTTGAATAAAATAGAAATCATTTCAACTTGTGCCTTTTCACATGAAATTATTTCATCTGAATTCTTGATGAAACATTCCAGATATTGATTCTCCCAAAAGGAATTACATAGTATTGACCATATAATTATTAAAAACAGAAATGAACATATAAATGACATATGTTTAGGTCAATTTGTAAAAATAATTTTTAAAAATCTGAAGCAATCTTGAACTTACAAAAAATTGCAAGTATAATACCAAGAACTTTTATTTTTTTTCTGAACTACTTGAAAGAAACTATCAACCTGAGGACACATCACCCCCAAATACTTTACAGTGAGTATTGTCTATAAACAAGAATATTCTCCTGCATAACAGCAATAATACAATCAAAATTAATCTTAGTACATAATAATCCTAAAACCTCATTAAGTATTTTTTAAGACTTTATTAGTTTATTTATAGAGATTGGAAGGGAGGGAGAAAGAAAGGAAGAGAAACATCAATGTGAGAAACATCAGTCCGTTGCCTCTCACATTTACCCTGACCAGAGACCAAACCTGCAACCAAGGCATGTGCCCTGACCTGGAATTGAACCTGCAACCTTCAGTTTGTAGGACAATGCCCAACCAACAGCCACAGTGGTTAGGGTTCCTCACTAAGTTTTACCAGTTGTCTCAGTAATGTTCTCTATAGCAAAAGGGAAAACATTTCCAAATCACATATAAAGGTCTTGTCTCCAGAATATATAAATAATTCTATAAATTCAATAATAAAAATAAAGAAGCAATCCAGTTTTTAAATGGACAAAAGATTGGAGCAGGCATTTTGCCAAAGATAATATACAAATGGCAGATAAGCACATGAAAAAATGCCTAGCACCATTACACATTATGGAAATGCAAATTTCAACCACAAAGTGATATCACTACCCATCTATCAGAATGGCTAAAGTTTTTTTTAAGCTGACAATTCCATGTGTTGACAAAGATGCCAAGCAGCTGGTGTTCTTACGTATTAGTGATAGGAACACTAAATGGAACATTCACTTTGGAAAACAGTTTGGTACTTTATTATAAAGCTAAAAAAAATACTTTTGATATGACCTGGCAACCCCCCTCTTGGTTTTTACACAAGAGAAATGAAAAGTTTGGTTGAAACAAAAGGCTACATGTGAGGGGTTGTAGTGGCTTTTTTTCATAATCATAAAAAAACGTACAAATAACATAAAAACTCTTTAACTGACAAAAAGATAAATTATGTTACATCCCTACAATGGTAAACTCACTGATAAAAAGAATAAGCTGATACAGTGAACCGCACAGCATGCGATTCCATTTGTATGACAATCTGGAATAGGCAAAACTGATCAGCTATGGCCAGAGGCTGGGGTGCATGGTATGAATTGAGTGCAGAGTCATGGAGGAGTTCGGGGGTGATGGAACTGTCTGTCCTATACTTTGGTTTCAGTGGTGGCTACAGACTTGATATTTGTCAAAACATATAAAGCTGTACACTAAAAACGGGTATAATTACTATATGTAAGTTATACCTTAATTAAAATTTTATGACATGAACAGGTATTTCACCTTTAATAATCAAAGAAATGAAACAGTTCTAATGAAGATCTGGTTTACATCAGTCAGAAGTATTTTTATAATATGGTAAAAATGTATTCCTTTACTTGAAAGAGTAAATGGTCATTTTGACCATTTTTCTTCTTGCTAAAAAAATATGCAGACATAAACAGCGTTTGAGCTCAAAGGTGACGTCCCACTTTGATTGCTTTTTGACACAGGTCATCAAGAGACCTTTGAGCGTGAAGGTTGTTTTAAGGACGCACAACATCATGCCCTCACTGTTTTTTCATTTTACAAATCATCCGCATAGGACCACGTAGGACCATTTTATAGGCACCTGAGAGGGAAGAGAGTGCTGTTTCCGGCCTCACCAAGGCAAGGTGAACTAGGACTGTCCTGGCCCAGCACATGTGGCCACTCTAATCCTGGGGCACCTGTCCCTTCGAGGTCCGTTTGAGGTCCTCTGTCGACGTCTTCGGTTTGCTCGTACGCTCCGCCGCTGTGGCCCCGGTCCCTGCTCCACCATGAGTCGCTGCACAACCCTGAACAGGCTTCCTCCCCACTCCTAATGCTTGCATGGCAGTGATTTTTCCCTTAGCGAGGGTGTGAGTATTAAATTGGATTAAGAGAAAAGCACTGGCACCTAGTATGTGTTCTCTGAGGGTTAATTTCCTTTTTCTTCATCCGGCCTCTTTTTTATTTCATTGGATTGATTGATTTTTTAGGTGATGTTTTATTGTATCTTTTCCATTACTATTTACCCCCTTGATTTCCACCTCCACCCACCTGATTTCATTTGATTTTTAAAAACAGGTTTATTTAGACGAAATTCATATACCATACAACTCACCCATTAAAGTATACAATTAAATGGTCGGTAGTGTATTCAGAGTTGCGTGGTCATCACCACAGTCAATCTGGAACATTTTTGTCACCCTAAAAGAAGCCCTGTACCCTGTAGCTACCCCACCCCTCAGCCCCAAACCACCGCTGAGATTTGTTTGTCTCTATGGATTTCCCCATTCTGACCTTTTCATTTGGATGGACTCATAAAATATGTGGTTTCCTTGATTTTAAAATGAGGGGACTCAGAAATGGTCAGAGGTGAAGGTGGTTGGTTTAGTGTTTCCTTCACAGAAGAGGAGCCTGGGTGCAGTCCACTGGGGTCAAGGTCAGTGGTCTGGGAAATGTACTACCTGGCTCTCGTGGCAGCCGGTTCTGTGGGGACCAGCGCATCGTGCCCCATGCGCCATAAGCTTGCGTCCGCAGCCTGGCCTGCTTTATGTACCTTTTACTTACAAATGTAATTAAGCCAGCTATGTCAGGGGCATAACATGTGTTGATTTTTGTATGCTTTATTTTAAAAAACTTTCTATGGTGTTAGAAAAACTTTTTCAAAGGAAAATTTTAATGCTAACTTGATACAGAGTTTGGCGAAATTTAAAGTGAGCTTTTATGCAGGGAAAGTCCTAGCAGGAAAAGAAAGGGGATTTTCTCTTCCCATCTTCAGGATGCAAACGCACTCATCTCCTTTTTCTGTGTAGGTGAAAGGGAATGTCGTATCTGGCTGCCATGTTGAAATCTGACAAAACATCATGGGATCAGTAAGGTTCATTTCCTTCCCCGCTTCAACTAGGAAGTAGTTAACATGCTTCTCTAGCATAACACCTGAATTTGCTTTATGAGGAGGTGATTTCTAGGTTTAGTGGAAAATACACTATATGAAAATTAGCATTTGTATACAGAGGTCTTGGAGTTACTTAATGTCTTTAAGGGTCAATTTCTTCAGCTCTAGAGGGGGTTTGAACCAGGTCATGTGGAGGACCCACCCAGCTCTAAATGAGTGTTTAGCAGGACACGGTGGGTTTCTGCCACTCACTTTCTCCTTACTTCTCTTGCACAGGAATCATGGCCCAAGTAGCAATGTCTGCCCTGCCCGTGGAAAATGAGGCGTCCTCAGAGAGCAGGATGGTGGTGACGTTCCTCGTGTCAGCTCTGGAGTCCATGGTGAGAAGGTCTACGGTTCTGTAACACGTGCCATGCTGGGTCACTGTAGAAATGACAGAACTGCGAAACACTTCACTGTCATTTTTAAATTTCAACTTGAGTTTTGCATGCTGTCTGTGTTAAGCATACCCTTCTTCATAGAGGATATGGGCTTGTCAGATAATTTGTTTAATTATCTTTTTTTTCCTTATATAACGGATATAATGATATAAATTTAAGCTTTCCAGATCTGAAAATGTAATGAAGGCATCTACGTTACCTTGTTTGAGAATATATTTTCTCTAAATTTAAAGGTAAATTAATGATCCACTTACATACATCTATTTATATCCAAATGGAAACTTTACCTTGTGTGAGAAAATTTGATGCTAAATTTCTATACCCTCAAAGTATCTGATCACAAAGTACTTGATTGATTAAAAAGGGAAAGCCACACACTTTATAAAAGTGGAGAAACCAAAGACAGCCCCTTAATCGAGTGATTCACGGGGCAGACTAACATCATGTGCCTCCCTCCGTGAGGCACTTAGAAGGAGCAGAACCACTTCTGTGGCGTTCCCACCAAAAGTGCACACCCTGAGTCTTGTGAGAAAACGTCATACTAGCCCAAATTAAGGGACATTCTACAAAATAATGGACTGGACTTATATAAATATAAGTGTCATGAAAGATGAGGAAACTGTCCCAGATGGAAGGAGACTGAAGAGACAGGACACCAAATAGAAAGTGTGACCCTGGATTGGATTTTTGACCAGAAAAATATATATGTAGCTATTTATTTATTTTTATTTTTCTATAAAGAAATTATTGGGTCAATTGGCAAAGTACCAAACACACACATAACACATCCACACATGCATGCGCGCACACGCACCCCTCAACCTATCATACTCAAACTGTAGAAAACCAAATAAAGAGAAATTTTGAAAACAAACTATGATAAATTGAATAATGCCTCACCCCCCTCCCCAAAGATGTTCATGTCCTCATCCTGAGCCTGTTATTAGAATATTACCTGATTTGGCCAAAGGAACTCCACAGATATGATTAAGTGAAGGCTCTTGAGATGGGGAGATTTTCTTAGATTATCTGGGGATAAATAAAACTGTTTTTCCTTTAAAAAAAACTTGGAATAAGTTTTATTTTTTATTTATTTCAATAAATAATGTTTTGGGTTTCTTCAGTTAAATATCCTGAAGTGGAGTTCTGGGTCCTTCTTTGTCTCTTGCTATAGCCTTTTTTTAAAAATATATTTTATCTGGTATAAAAGTATTGCTTTTTTGTTTTGTTTCTATTTTCATGAAATATCTTTTCCATCCCTTTATTTTCAGTTTGTGTGTGTCTTTTGATCTGAGGTGAGTGTCTTGTCGACAGCATATGTAGGGGTCTTGTTTTATAGTCCATTCAGCTCACCGTGTATCTTGTTTTTTCCTTTCTATTGAATTTATTGGGGGTGACACTGGTTTCAGATGCACGATTCGACAGCACATCATTTGTACGCTGTGTTGTATATTCACCACCCCTGGTCAAGTCTCCATCCATCACCATCTATCCCTTTCATCACTTCGTATCAGGGGTTCATGACATCAGCATGTCTAATCACTGGTGACATTCACCTTGATCACTTAGTCAAGGTGGTGTGGTGATTAATTTTATATATCAACTTGATTGGGCCATGGGATGCCCAGACAGCTAGATAAATAATATCTTCGGATGTGTCTGTGAGAGTGTTTTTTGGAAGAGATTCGCATTTGAATTTGCGCCCTGAGTGAAGCAGGTGGCCCTCCCATTGTGGGTGTGCATCATCCACTCTGTTGAGGGCCCAGCGAGAACAAAGAAATGAAGGGGGCGGAATTAGTTCTCTGCCTGCCTGTTGAGCTGAGACATTGATCTCATCCTGCCCTCTGCACTCCTGTCTTCAGACTTGGACTGGAATTTAGTCCATCAGCTCTTTACCTCTCAGGCTTTTGACCCACACTCCAGGCTTTCCCACAGCTTGCAGACAGCGGATCGTGGGGCCTCTCAACCAATTACATGAGCTAGTTCTTTGTAATAAACCTCGTATTATGTGTATAAAGTCTCCTATTGGTTCTGTTTCTCTGGAGAACCTTAATACAAGTAACATCTGTCACATTTCTCTGTTGTCAAGTTACTATTTTTCCCTCGTCGTGTCCTGTTCTGGGATGTAAGTCACTGTGCCCAGCCCACAGACAACAGTTCTCAGTGCTTGTAACGGTGAGGTGGCGTGGACTCCACCACAGGGCTTGTGGGAGCGTGGGCCCCTCTGAAGCACTGTTTGTAATATGTTTCAGGAACCTTAAAATAATTTATACCCTTTGACTGAGGTGTTCCACTTTTCTGATCCCATCCCATGGAAATAAACATGCACAGAAATATTGATGTTCTTGGTTGTTTATTATAGTATTGTTTATAATAGGAAAAAACTTTTTAATAATGTTATTGGTTAAACTGGCATATGGTGATTACATTGGGCCCAACTGGACAATTCAGGACAGAATATTATATATTCATTTTAAAATCATGTTTTTCAGGATCATAAATGCTCATTAATAATAAGCAGAAGGCCAACCTATATACAGCAGTATGATTCTAACTTTATTTTAGAAAATTGTATATGTATGTGTGCATATTTCAGAACATGAACGGTGGTTAATTCTGGATGATAGGGTTACAGGGGATTTCTTTTTTTCTGTGTACTTTTCTGTATCTGTTATTGATAAAATTTTTATAATATGCCTATTTCATAATGAGAAAAAGTGCTTTTAAAAAGATCTTTGCTACTGATGATGACCAAAGTAAGGCTACAAATTGGCAACTTCACCTGATACCAGAGTCTGTGTGTTGGGTTAACTGCTGAATTTTTAGCTCGTTTGATATGAACAGATCTGCCAGGAAGCGACAGAGCCTCGGTTCTGGGCTTCCCACTTGCCCTGACCCTCCCCCGGTCTTGGCCGAGTCCTAGCAATATGCGCATGTGTGTTTTTTGTAAAACTTGCTAGAATAAGGTATTTTAATCACATCAGTGAAGGTTGCTGTCTCCTTCTACTCTTTCTCTCTGCCACCGCCCCTGAAATAGTTTCCTGTGGCTGCTGTAAAAAATTACATCAACTTCGTGGCTTTAAACGACACCCATATATTATCTGATAGTTCTGAAGGTCAGAAGTCACAAAAGAACTTTGTGGGGCTAAAATTGAGGTGTCAACAGAGCTGCATCCCTTCTGGAGGCTTCCAAAGAGAATCTGTGCCCGGCATTTTCCAGCTCCCAGAAGCCACCAGTGCCCCTTGTCTTGTGGCCTCTTCCAGCAAGGGCACCGCTCTGCTCTCTGATTCCATTGTCACATCTCCTTCTGCCTCCTTTTTCCTTGTCAGGCCTCTCATGCTTACATTGGGCCACCCTGGATAATCCAAAATTATCTTCCCATCTCAAGATCCTAAATACAATCACATCTGCAAAGTCCCTTCTGCTATGTAAGGTTACCTGTTCACAGGCTCTGGGGATGAGGACAAGGACATCTTTGTAGGGCCATTATTCTGCCAATTGTATCCACTGTGTCCGGTGATGTTGGAGAGGACATGGCATCTTTGGGGTCTTGATAAGGGGAAGTTGGACTAGGGATCCCTTTAGTTTTAGTTTAGCAATAATTAATAATAATTATGTGGCTTGCTGTTATTTTTATATCTGGTAAGTTATTGATGCACATCTCAGTGCAGGAATAGTTTCAGGAATATTCCCACAGTCCTCTGTGTCCTCTCATCCAGTAACATGACAGCAAGAGACAAAGCCTGAGGTCGTATTGTGGTGTGAACATATCTGGGTAGTAGACATGAAACAAGGTCTTAAATGTACAGAGCCAAAAGCTCATCTGGAGGAAATTCTTCTACTTATTTAACAGGTAAAATCGTAAACAGGATTTGTTTTTCACTGATGCCTTTTCGAAACCAAACTTCTTTCTAGTCAGGAATATGCCCAGTAATGTAGCATATGTAGTTATAAATACACCAAATATTCTTTTAACTTTCTGAAAGAAAATACACAAAGTAGAATGTATCAGAATGCTTGTCTGGAGGCCATAAACCTGCAAGTATGTCTGTGCATGAATTTGCATGTGTTATGCATCCCTGCCATCAATAATAAAAACATAATCAATCATGTTGGAGGAAATATTAAATTATTAAAATGATATCTAAAAAATTATTGTCCCAGGAAGAGGCAGTCTAAGAATCTATAGCCAAAAGTGTAGGAAAAAAGATTCTGCACCCAGTTCCCTTGCATTGGGGCAGGTTTCCCACACCAACAAGCAATTCTCCAACCACTGCTGACGTCTTGCACTTCAACTCAGTTCTCACACTATCTACCCAGAGACAGCATCCAGTCTCACAGGTTGCCAGCTCAGTCCCCCAAGACTGCCCCCGCCCCCACTTCGGATGCCAGTTGCAGTCAAGGTTGTCACCGGTGCTTCTGATCTATCATATCTGATCTGTCATAAGCGGGGGTTCCTATGACCCCCCCTCCTCAGGTTTGATTAATTTGCTAGAGCAGCTCACAGACCTCACCTTTATCTCTTCACTTAGAGAATTCCAAGGGTTTTATGTGCCAGGAACAGTGAACAAAGACCAAATAAACCTATTTTTGTTGTAAATCACAATATCACAGGTAGTTAATAAAAATATGTTCTTCTTGCCCTGACTGGTGTGGCTCAGAGGATTGAGTGCCAGGCTGCAAGTCAAAAGGTTACTGGTTCAATTCCCAGTCAGGGCACATGCCTGGGTTGCAGGCCAGGTCCCCAGTTGGGGGCGTTCAAGAGGCAACTTATTATTTCTATTGCTCAACGATGTTTCTCTCCCTCTCCTTCTCTTTCCCTTCCGTCTCTCAAAATAAAGAAATAAAATCTTAAAAAAAATATGTTGTCCTCTGGGTTTTATGATGCTTATGGTATTAGCTTGATAAATTTGTTTTTTTTTCCTTGGTGATTTTTCTCATTCTAAATAAATAATTAATTTTGTACCTGAAATTTTGTATTTTCTTAAAGCACACCTCTGAGGTCCTACAAAAATCTGGATCTACCCTTGAATAAAACACTTCATTCTTTGGATTTCAGTGCAAAGAACTGGCCAAGTCCAAGGCAGAAGTGGCCTGCATCGCAATGTATGAAACAGACGTGTTTGTCGTGGGAACTGAGAAAGGACGAGCTTTTGTCAATGCCAGGACGGATTTGCAAAAGGATTTTGCAAAATACTGTAAGTGTTAACAGTTTCATCCTTTGCATTCATAAACCTTAAAGTATTTACAGGCAGGTCTTATGTAATGTTTTCCTCTAAGATATTATAAGCATTGTTCTAAAAATCGTTCTGACATATCTCCTTTGACGTGGCATACCAGTGAATAGATACTTAACACTGGCAAGTCCAAGAAACATTGTCATTGTGTTTTGTAGAGGGTCTGCAGCGGGGCTCAGGTTTTGTAGGCTAAATACGAAGCACATAAAGTAAATTGTCTTTGATTTCTAAAATAAACCCACATTTAAAAAATACTCTTATGTTGCTCCTTCCCAAAGGAAAGGGTAAAACTCCATCAGGGCTTATTAGGTATTATTTTTGGTTAACAACCATTATTCTCCATTTCCCCTTTTTTTACTATGGGACTTTCAAGCCTTCAGTATGCCAATATGTGTTGCAAATGCCCAGGGACATTATGTAGTCTTATTCTAGGGAAATGATACTCTCAGGCAACTGTTTTCACCCTTTTTCATTTCATGGCACACATAAACTAATTACTAAAATTCTGTGGCCCACCAAAAAATACAGTTTTTGCTGATCAACATAGGTATAATTAACAAAAATGTAGGTATAATTTTGATTCATTCACACTGGACAGCTATTGTTGTGTTGGCTATTGTCATTTTTCAATTTTACAGTCTAAGGGAAAAGAGGTCGATGCCCCTAACTAAACAGTCAGGTATGGCATGTTTTAAAAAGTCTTGTGACATACCAGTTGAAAATTGCTCCCCTAAGGTGTTAAAACCTACATTTTGTATAGTGATTATCTGTACCACTGTAGAACATCTACCAAGTATTGAGTTAGCAATTTTGTATATCCTGGAATCAAGATAGGGGAAAAAAAAAAGTTTAATCAAAGGGTAAGTATAGAGATAGCTATACATATAAATATAGATATATAGGCATGTAGATGTCTCCAAGGATTGGCAAAGGCTATATACACACACACACACACACACACATATGTATATATGTGAGTGGATCTTGATGTATTTTTGTGCATGCATATATATATGTATAATCTTGATTTGATAGATATACATTTGTTTTTAATTAAAATTATGTATATATAATTTTTTTCAAGGACGATGCCTGGGTCGTGTTATGTGCCCCACACAGCATTGCCTTTGGTCAGGCTGAAGGAGCCCCGATCTGATAGTCTGGGGGAGATAGAGGCGAACACAGAGCATGACTAAAATTGGAAGGGCCTTAGAGATATACAGAGAGCGGGCACACAGGCTCCTTGGGAGACTTGTCTCAGAAACCGCAAAGGCAGGACACCTTACCAGGGGGCTCAGGGCCTGGGGAAGAGACCTTGATGCTACTTCGACATTAAGAAACAGGCTGAGCTGGGACATGTCCACCAGCTCCCTTCCCACTCACAGGAGACTTTCATGTACATATGAGATTGATGAATTCAGATTGACTTCTAAAACCAAAACTTAGGGTCTCTACTATCAAGAAGATAGATTGACAAATGAGGCAGTGAATATGGTAAGTATGTGATTGGTAAACAAGAAGAATATTCTCCGTTCATTCGTATCAGCTGGCAATTGGATTTCTAATGCTGAAATTTAATTAGAGTTTTTTTAAAGTTTCACAATTGCATGCTAATTTTTTATACATAGGGCTATTCAAGTTTTTTTTTTCCTTTTGTACCCATTTCAGTAAACCTTTTTTTGTTATTTGTTTTAAATTATGTTTTATTGATAATGCTATTACAGTTGTCCCATTATTTTCTCCCCTTTATTCTTCTCTGCCCTGTACCCCACCTCCCACCAGCAGTCCCCCAATCCCCCCTGCCCTAGTTCATGTTCATGGGTTGTACATGTAAGTTCTTTGGCTTCTCCACTACCTGTATTATCCTTTACCTCGCCCTGTCTATTTTGTACCTACCATTTATGCTTCTTATTCCCTGTACCTTTCCCCCCATTTTCCCCCTCCCGCCCACCTCTGATAGCCCTCCATGTGATCTCCATTTCTGTGATTCTGTTCCTGTTCTAGTTGTTAGCTTAGTTTGTTTTTGTTTTCTTTTAGGTTCAATTGTTGATAGTTGTGAGTTTGTTCTCATTTTACTGTTCATAGTTTTGATCTTTTTCTTAGGTAAGTCCCTTTAACATTTCATATAGTAAAGGCTTGGTAATGATGAACTCCTTTAATTTCACCTTATCTGGGAAGCACTTTATCTGCCCTTCCATTCTAAATGAAAGCTTTGCTGGATAGAGGAATCTTGGATATAGGTCCTTGCCTTTCATGACTTGGAATACTTCTTGCCAGCCCCTTCTTGCCTGCAAGGTTTCTTTTTAGAAATCAGCTGAGAGTCTTATGGGAACTCCTTTGTAAGTAACTGTCTCCTTTTCTCTTGCTGCTTTTAAGATTCTCCCCTTATCTTTAATCTTGGGTGATGTAATTATGATGTGCCTTGGTGTGTGCTTCCTTGGGTCCAACTTTTTTGGGGCTCTCTGAGCTTCCTGGTTCTCCTGGAAGTCTGTTTCCTCCACCAGATTGGGGAATTTCTCCTTCATTATTTTTTCAAATAAGTTTTCAATTTCTTGCTCTTCCTCTTCTCCTTCTGGCACCCCTATGATTTGGATGTTGGAACATTTAAAGTTGTCCCAGAGGTTGCTAAGCCTCTATTCATTTTTTTGAATTCTTGTTTCTTCATTCTGTTCTGGATGAATGTTTATTTCTTCCTTCTGCTCCAAATCGTTGGTTTGAGTCCTGGTTTCCTTCCCTTCACTGTTGGTTCCCTGTATATTTTTATTTCACTTTGCATAGCCTTCATTTTTTCCTCTATTTTGCTACCACACTCAACCAATTCCGTGAGCATCCTGATTAACAGTGTTTTGAACTCTGCATTTAATAGGTTGGCTATCTCTTCATTGCTTAGTTCTTTTTCTGGAGTTTTGATCTGTTCTTACATTTGGACCATGTTTCTTTGTCTTGGCACACCTGTTATGTTAGAAGGGTCAGAGCCTCAGGTATTTGCCAGGGTGGGGCAGCTCATGTCACTTGGCCTTGTGACACTGTATGTGGGGGAAGGGGTCTGAGAGGGAACAGTGCTGCTTGCTTGCCTCTCAGTTGGCTTTCAGTCACTTCTGCTGCTACCCACAAGCAAATTGGGCCCTTCTGATGCTGATTCCCAGGTGGGAGGGTTTGTGTACATTCTAGGACCCTGTGGGTCTCTCCAGTGAACTCTCCTGTGAGGCTGGGAGTTTCTCCCACCACTGCAACCCCCACAGATTTTTACAGACAGAGGTTTTGAGGCTTTCTTTTCCTCACGCTGGAACCCTGGGTTGCTTGGTCTGACTTGCACCCCTTTCATTCCTCCTGGTTTATCTGCACGCAAGTGTGAGACCACCAGCTGCCATCTGTCCCACCCAATCCTCCAGCCACTGCCTTGCCTCAGGTCCCCTCCACCCCAGCTGCCCATCTCCACCCCTCCTACCAGTCTGGATGAATGTTTCTTCTTTAACTCCTCAGTTGTCGGACTTCATAGAGTTTGATTTTCTGGAAAATCTGTTTTTTTTTTTTTTTTTAATTTGTTGTTCTTCTTTTGGTTGTGCAAGGAGGCAAAGTGTATCTCCCTACACCTCCATCTTGGCCAGAAGTCCAGTAAACTTTATTTTTAATTTCCTTATTTCATCTAAGTTGTCAAATTTGTTGGCATTAAATGGTTTATAATATTTGCTTTATAATTTTAATCTCTGTATTGTTGTCTCTACTTTAGTTTCTGATATTGATAATTTGTGTTTTCTCACTTTTTTCTTGATACATCTTGCAAGGAATTCATCCATTTTACTTACCTTTCCAATGAGCCAACTTTCAGCTTTATGATTTTTCCTTATTTGTCTGTTTTCTTTGTCAATTATTGTTGCTCTTAACTTCATTATTTTCTTACTTATAATTTCTTTGGATTGATTTGCTTTTCTCTTCTATCTTTTTGATTTGGTAGCTTAGGTCATTGACTATTTAAGAAATTATTTATTTAAAGTTATGATTTTCCCTTTAGGCTCTACTTTAGCTGTATTCCAAAGACTTTGAATGTTGTGTTTTTATTATCGTTTCAAAATATTTTCTAATACCCCTAGTAATTTTTTCAACCCATGGTTACTTAGGAGCATGTTCCTTAATTTTTTAATATTCAGGGATTTTTTTGTTATTTATATCTAATTAAATTTGATGGTGCTCTAAAGATATACTCAATATGATTTTAGTATTTTTTATTTATCAAGCCCTCATTTATGGCTTAGCACATCATTTATGTTGGTGACTGTTCCGTATGTACTTGACAAGAGCCTGCAGTTAATAGACCAAATAGGTCAGGTTGTTAAATAATATTATTCAATTCATCTATATCATTTTGATTTTCCCTACTTATATTTATCAATTACTGACAATGGATTGTTAAAATCTGCAACTATATTGTGTGGAAGAGTTTCAGGAAACTGATGTTAGTTATTTAAATATTTGATAGAATTCTCCAATGAATCCATCTGGTCTTCAGCTTTTCATTGTTGGGAGGTTTTTCTTTATTGATTCAATCCCATTACTTGATTTTGGTCTGTTCAGATTTCATAGTTCATAATTCAGTTGTGGTATGTGGTGTGTATCTAGGAATTTATCCATATTTTTCTAGGTTATGCAATTTGTTGGTGTACAAATACTCATGTATTCTCTTAAAATCCTTTTTATTTCTGGGGCATTGGTTGTAATGTCCTTTCTTTCCTTTCTGATTTTAGTTATTTGAATTTTCTCTCTTTTTTTAATCTAGCTAAGGGGTTGTCAATTTTTGTGACCTTTTTAAAAACCTAACTTTTAGTTCCATTGATTTTTAACTTTCTTAATTCTCTATTTCATTTATCTCTGATATATTCTTTATTTTATTTATTCTTTATTTTTATTTAATTTTATTTATTCTATTCCCCTTCATTCTGCTACTTTGGGGTTTAGTTTGCTCT